CTCAAAATATATTAAAAATTGTTCCTTGAAAACTAAAGTTCTCCCTCGGATACATCTAGCAATCCTAAAATAATGATCATGGAATCAAAACTTTGACCCTCGGTCAAAAAGATGTTCAAAAGCGTGGTTCCCCTTCTTCTCACTGTTCAGTCCTGAATTCTCCAATACTTTATTTCAGGTATCAGATGTTGTGTTTTTATTTTTTTAATTCCACTTTGTTGATAATTTGATTTTTTTAATATTTCATTCTGGACTGATTTGGCTTATCATTTGAAGACCTTATGAACAGTAAGATACCTAAATGTCCCTGAAGCTTACTATTGTAAACCATTTTTGATGTTGGTATCTTAATGGTTTCTGATACAAAAACATTGAAGAATTCAGGGTATGGCAATGTGACAGGGGTTCCACTGGCAATCTGAGACAGCATTGCTTCTTGTATGCCTTTATTTAAAGGCATAACAGACAGCAACACCAGAGGTCTGTGTTCATACACACATGTGCTGCTGCTTAGGCTGAACTAAGCAATCACATGGGAAACTATTGTAAACTGATTTCTGGTGTCGCTGTTCCCCCTAGGTGGAGGAGAATGAGATTGAGTGCTGACTTTAAGCCTGGCTGAGAAACATACTGGCATCGGTGTCATTAATGAAAGGGTGGATGTTGTTCCCCTGAAAGCCAGTGGCCTTTGACCCCTGAAGCCGCTGTGCCTGAAGGTCAGTTCACAAGAGGTATAGGAAGGAGCCTAACATTTTTTTAAAGCCTCATCTAACCTTTTATTCACAGCACAAAGTCAAGGTTAGAGAATGTACCTGAACAGTGGAAGGACCAGAATGCATGGTTTTCAGAGGACAGTTTTTCCCTTGCTAAAACCTAAATTTATTCCCTAGAATCTCCTAGCAGTTTTAGCTATAATGTTAAAAAAAAAAAAAAAGCATTTTGTTCCCCAGGACCTGATTTTAAATAAATGTGATACTGATAGGCTGAAATTTGTGTTACCCTGGGCTGCTTCCAACTGCAGGCAGATCCCAGAACCTGCCTCAGAAACCACCGATTATGTATAAAGTGCTTGTATGTATGTGTGGATGTATGCATGAATCCATGTATTTAGCTTAACACATTTTTACTATTACTGATTAGTCTATCAAAGGAATCCTAAACCATAATTTCCAGTGTGGGGTTGACATTATTTCTTGCCCTAATCTACGTAGAATATACTTCCTCACTCAGGTGTTCTGACTTTTCAGATTCCAATTCCAATAAAAACAATTTCACGTAGACCTAAACCCTTAACTTTCTTTTCAAGAGCAATTGGCCTTTCAACTTTAACCATGGCAACTTCAAGCCGTGTTGCTTATTTGATGTTTATGTACTTTATTTGTTCTAGGACTGAACAGGAAAAAATGCTTGCAGTGCTAGTTTTTCTGTGATTTGCCTACGCAGTTGGAAAGCCTACCTGATTTGGAAACCCTGGATTAAGAAATTCCTTTGAGTAAAATTGCTAACTTTGTTTGTATATGTTGTTACAGGAGCTTTATTGCAGAAATGACCATTTATATCAAGCCACTGGGCAGAAGTAAGTGTTCCTGCTTCTTTGCTGTACCG